GTACAATCTCACACACGACTTATTTGTAGTTTTTGACCTATGAATAAAAAGTAATTGTTAGAATAATGAGTGACATAGAAACATGAAAATGAATATCGGGAGGGGTCTCATTGGCCATAAGTCTCTACACTATAGAGTTTAACTCTTCAGGCAACGACTCACTTTATATTCATTGGAATTGGTTTTTTGTTGTTTTTAACATATTATGTTTTTTTAAGACCAGTAAAATGACATTAGCAGGGTTTTCAGTTTTCGTGAAATTTTGAATAGTCATGTAGTTGTTGTCGACAGTTTTATTAATAGATTCTGAAAGAAGGTAAAATTTTGATAAAAATGGCTGAGTTTATTTGGACAGTTGGCCTACAAGTATCAAAATCACAGACGGATTCGATTATCTATATTGAATTATAATGAAAAACGTTAAAATATGTCTCCTCTTTGTATTTTTAATAGACATGGTTCTAAATGACAGTGTATATACGAACTTACATAAATTGACAATTCAATAGGGCAATAACCCGTGCCCAGCAGTTAGATGAATAATGAGATGATTCAATATAACAAGTTCGCTATTTATTGCATAAGCGTGACCAATATTCAGTCGGAAGTCGATAGAATATTTATTAGTCGACTGCAATCACCACTAGCTGCTTGTAAGCGGGCAATACTTTTGTGCTTTGAACTGCCATTTTACTCGCATCTTCAAAAAAGACAAACTATGGTAATCTGAAAACTAGCCTTATCAGATCTGAATCATATTAATTAACATAAGAACAATCACCATGTTCACATGTTGTTAAATGCTTACCAATAATTTTTCTTCGATGTTCGACCTAGTATAACTTCTCGTGTCGATGGCGTACACTATGCTTGCCACCGTGGTGCAAGAAATTGCCAATTACGCCGATTGTTACCAGATCGCCGGACGCTAATTTCGTTCTAGTATAACGATCACGCACGACTTATTTGTAGTTTTTGACCTATGAATAAAAAGTAATTGTTAGAATAATGAGTGACATAAAAACATGAAAATGAATATCGGGAGGGGTCTCATTGGCCATAAGTCTCTACACTATAGAGTTTAACTCTTCAGGCAACGACTCACATTATAATCATTGGAATTCGTTCAGTTTTTAATATAGTAATTTGAAAACCAGCCTCATCAGATCTGAAGCATATAAAAACTAATTTCTGCTTTACCAAATCGACATGGAAATCAAAACTACAGTAGCGCTACCACCAGGGTCTAAACATAAGTTAATGTTTAAATTAATACTTGCCATTTTCAATAGTTCTTTGGTCAATGGCACTCCAAATAACTGTAAAGAAAGATCTGCGTTACTGATTTTGAAAGAGAAACTGCGATCCAAGTTTAAAAACCAAATTAACTCATAATTCGTTATATCTACATTTCACATTCAGTAATTGGATCCGATTGTTTTAATCACAGATAAATAACAAAACATTTTTTCCTATTAAAACAATGGTATTGTGCTCACCTAATAATTAACAGAGAAGGAAACGTTTCTGAAACAAAGGTTTTGGGATCAGTGATGCCATTTCTCTACTACAATACTTCTTCACAGCCATCTTTTATATTTTCTTTTGCATTATATAATTATTATTTGTCCATTTCCAATCCAGTCTAATTCAAGAATAAAGATAAATATTTTTTCATCATAAAAAGTATTTTCTATATCAATCACTCTCAATATTATTCCTAAAAAATAACAGTGCTAGTACATTACAAATAAGAAACAACGAAATAACTCACCATTAACTCGGCATAAATATATAATTAAAATCAAAAAAATGCCAATTACAATAGAAAAATTATAATTTAAAAATTAATTACAGTATAATGTAAAGAAACACCTGGATCTGAACTACATTATCAGTGATAACAAGTCTTATAAAAGAAAATATCGCAGATTATAATTCAGTATTTTATTCATGACGTGATACTAGTAACAGTCGAGTATCACTTGTACGTGGATATTAACAATGCGAAATATCGTCCAGCAATATTTATTCCTGTAGGGTCGATATCTTGGGGCAACGTACAAACTCAGGCGAAACAAAATGCTCCACGGTGAATTAAAAATAATTATATGTAATAAAAAAACAATATAGTATAGTGCGTGAGGCGCGCGTAATGTTACATATATTACAGAATGGATTGCATTAGCTACGGCGTTTACAACTTGTCCAAATATTGAGATAGATCCGGGAGACCTTCTTTCAGCCCTTTCCTCTTTCTCGTTTCCTGTGGGAGAAATACGAACATTAAAATCAATGTTAAAATATGAAATACTAAACGGATTGTGCACAGGGAAGTCATAGTCTTAAAAAACACTGATGTTTGTTCAGTGGAAGAATAAATGTATCGACCGCGCCGTAGCATGCAGTCCTGGGACATAAGGATAGAGGTCCTGTGCAGCGTTTAGACGCGGTCGAAGGTTTGCTCTGCGTCTCACGCGAACCGGCGCTGTCGCGGCGCATACGACAGTCGCAAGGACCATCGTACGCGCTATAGCGCGGCACGGGTAGCGTTGGACGGTAAGCAAAAAACTCATTGGTCAGTATTTTTTGAAGGACAATAATGACATTTGCAGGGTTGCTATAGTCGTTGGTGACAATGTTATCGATAGATTGTGAAAATAGGTAAAATTTTGCCAAACATTTCTAAATTATGAATGTTACGACGTTCTAGTATTACTAGTTACGTTAATGTGTTAATTCATATTTTGACTGTTATACACATTTTAATAACGAGAGACGGATTTGATTATGTTCATTAAATTCAAATGAAAAACTTAAAAATTCGTATCCTATTTGTATTTTCATACACCTACTGCTAAAAGTTAGTGAATGTATGAATTTTCAAAAATTAACAATTCATATGAATCTGTGCCCAGCAGTTGGACGAATAATGAGCCGATTATGATTCAAATGATACAAGTTCGGCTTTTTATGACATAAGCGTAACCAACATTCAAGTCGATAGTAGCTGATTTGCAAGTGGGCAACACCTGCGCAATAAACTGTCATTTTACTCTTTTCTTCAAAAAAGACATCTCAAAGTTTTTTATTTTACTATTAATGGCTTGCCTTCGCAGTTAGCCAATGAAAGGGTTGGGAAGCAGAATTACAGATTATGGAAAAGATACAGAATTTGGATGAAAAAGGACACAAGGACAGGTTGGGTAAGTGGGTACATATTAAAGCTTGATATTATATTGGCCTTGTTCAATAGTAGAATAAGAAACGATTTAAATTTAGGAATGAAAAGTTAAAAGACTGAATATATTACCTGTACGACGATGGAGGGCTTGGTGCCAGGCTCGCACGGGTCTCCAGGCAGAATTTGCCAGTGATCGAACACGCACTGCGGGAAGGCCTGTCCGCCGGTGTTGGAGCGAAGATCGGCGGTGAATCCGAAGGACTCGTTGACGGGCAGATACGCCTTCACCACGAACATGGGCGTGCCGGCCACCTGCGACTCCTCGAACACGTGACCACGCCGTCTGTTCAGCACACCGTAGATGCCTCCCACGGCTACTTCAGGGCACTGCGCGATAACACATATGTTACGTTCTGTTGCTATAGTAACTTACTTTTAATTAATTAAGAATTAATCTCATAGTCAAAAGACAAATCAAATTATGCAATTATTTTCACACCGGTTATTAGTTATCTCGAATGCCAAAAGCACACATTATCGTCGTCTTACGAGTGAAAACCTGGCATACGCGTTTTCACATAGTTCGTCTTCACTGATTTTTGTTGAAGAAAAACTAACTTTTTGTTCAAATAATATTATTAAAGTAATATAGTATCTGAAAGAGTTATAATTTAACTAATTAAAATGCTAACTACATACGTAACATTTTTATCTTCGTCCTGAAAAATTACATACAAATCACAAACGAGGTATTCACTCAAGACGACATTATGTCACACGCAAATTGCCAACAATAATAGTGATTTAAAAATTATATGTTAGATCCCCTATTCAGGCAAGGTATATGTCGGGTGACAATGCCAAAACAAAGAACTGTTGCTCTGCCACGTCTCGGAAAGGCGACGCTATCATGCAAGCTAGAGCCGCTCAGGAAAAACGTGGATAAACACCATGCTAAGTTTATCACTTATCATGTAAATCTGACATGCTAACTAGTCAAAAAAAAAGGGCTCGATTCTGACAAACTTATTATCTTCGGTGCTTGCAATCTCTCGATGCCAGCATAAAAGATTGGATAACACTAAAATTAAGTCTCGTCTTTCTTATTGATAATGAAAGAAACAGATGGACTGAAATTGTATTAAATTTAGTTTTAGTTTGCCGAAATCGACACCAATGTACATATTCTTTACATTCAGTTAATAATAAATGCTGCAAATGTGCGAATTCTGTCCTGCAAAATGGGTGTTATTTGTTGCAAAAATAAAATTGTTGTTACTCTGTTCAACTAGGCCTGCTGCAAGGGATTTGGTAGGGTCTAAATCACGCTCATGCTATGGAGGCAGTACTGACCTGAATCTCGCACAGATACACCGGCTCCATAATTCTAGGCTGTGCAGTGAGGAGACACGCGTACAGGCATCTTCTCGTCGTTGGAATGATTTGTCCGCCACCTCTGTTGCAATAACATTAATACAAATAGAGTAACCAAATTGTGTACTTATATTTATATAAAATTTCCATTTTGAAAAACAATTTTTTCCGAATATTTTTACACATTTCGCACTTCCAAACGCTTTAATAGAGCAATAAACATTTTTAACGTAACTCCACTTATGCCATTCTTTCACGAGGGGTGCGATTAGACAGTTGACATCTGTCAAAAGTTGAAGATACGGAACGAAAACTTAAAGAAGAAATTATAAAGATTTTACCTATAATTCTTTTGCTTCGTTGCCATGCAATCATTTTAAATCTCGTTTTACTCTAACTTGTTTTTAGCTATACAATTTTATTTTATAATTCACGCTAAATAAAACTTCAAATGACGTTTCTAAACGAAGAACATAATGTAAGCCTTCGAAGTATGTTTTCCCAATTTTTCACATTTTTTTCTTGGAAAAGGTCCACTATTTGAAATTTTTCGGAAAATTTACCAACAGTATTCAGAACAAACCTGTGGATAGCGTCAGTATGTAGCGTAACGTCGTAGATGTTGAAGCGCACGCCTCTAAGATTCTCTTCAGCCATGACTCCCTCCTTGGCGGCCCACTGGAAGCCAGCCACGACGGAGTCCTTGATCTCGTTAAGGTACTGCACTCCCTTAGTGCAGTCCACCAGAATGTTGGGCCCGGTGCCCTCAGGTCCGAAGCACCAGATCTTACGTGCCTCCGTTACGTCGTACTCATACTTCTCGGTCAGGTAACGGGCACGGGTCTTGAAGTCGTCACGGGGATTGACACGGCCCTGTTCAATTTATTTGTAACGTTTAGTTGTACGATATATACATACTTTTATAATTTAAGTTTTCTTTATTTCAAATACATCCAAGATAATGAGCTCGTCGTCCAGTCAAATTTCATTGGCGAAACCAAAGCGCTCAGACTTCTCTGGCTCGGCTATTTAGAAAGGATGGGAGAGGATCGGAACATGAAGCGAGCCTATTTGGGCCGACCTACAGAACGATGACTGGTTGGTCGTCTCAGGTATCGCTGGAGTGACGCCGTGGAGGCAGACCGGCGCTAACTACAAGCCATCAATTGGCGAGAGATTGCACAGGACCGAAGAAAGTGCGTCATCATCTAGTTTCGGAGGCCGGGACACATTTTGAGTGCTGAGCCAGCGAAGTAAGATAACAAACAATTTTTAAAATAACGAAGAAGTTTATTCTTTTGTCTACAAAATGAAAACAAAGCTTCATTTAATTCTAAGCTTCAGTTAATTGGATATTATATATCCAATTAACTCGCTCATCAAGTTAATGACACTTGCGTGTCCAGCAACAAGGACATTGTAAATGTACGCACCTCGTCAATGTCCTCGGGCAGACCGTCGGGCATCGGCTGGGCCTTCATGAAGAGACGGTTATGTTTGTTGGGCGACTTGGATAGGCACATCTGGTCGGACTCTTCGGCGACAGTCTCGCGGTACGACACCACCGGGTCGGATTTCTTAATTGGAATGCACGCGTGGTCCTCCTCCAAATCCTGTACAAACAAGGAGCATAATATTATATACTTGTTTTATATTAATTCAAAAATTCATGATCAGTTTTTTAAGACAGGAGACAATAAATCGTTATCTCGGACGTAGTTTTAGCTAACTATATTATTATAAGGTTTTGTTCACTAAATGTGTTATTGTTACAAAGGGATGTCAGATTTATGATTTATTATCTGCAAACATGCAGTCAATTTGTTAGCAGTCGAATAGTTCTAAGCCTTATTCGTGATCTGTTATCTGTAGTTGTACAGTCAAAAGAACATCCAAGTTTCATACTCTAGTCCGTTCTAATTGCAAATGGGTTAAAGTTGAATTTAAATCTTAAGTGGCAAACTAATTGAATCGCAAATAGAAACTATTCAAGCCTGACAATAATCACTTAAATTTTAACAGTATACTGATTGCAATACAATTTAATAAATAATTAAATTTCTTAAACATACCTTGAGACAGATCTCAAGATGCAGTTCTCCGGCACCAGCAACGATATGCTCGCCGGACTCCTCGTTGATACACTGCACCATAGGGTCGGACTTGGCGAGACGCTTCAATCCCTCCACCAGCTTGGGCAGATCCGCAGGGTTCTTAGGCTCCACAGCTACACGCACGACAGGCGACACGCTGAACTTCATAACCTATTCGAAAATTTGATTTATTATTGAACCTGTGCTTATAGCTGCAATATAGGCGCTAGACATACACTTAATTGTTGTTGGCTATAAATGTTAAGTGTTAGTTGGTTGAAGAAAAATAAGTGTATTCATTATGAGTAAGGAATTCAATTCAGCAAACGCGGGATCCCGCGCACAAATTTAGCGGGATCAGAAATGCGGGATTACACCTGCGGGATTTGCGGGATCGAAAGTTTTATTATTGAAGAAAATTGCCCATTTTTCTCCTACTTCCGTGTTTTTCAGCTGCGCAGTTCCGACATCGTTCTAAAAGTAATTTATTCTTCTTAGCCTCACTAACAGGCGATTAAACAATTTTATCCTGGAACTCACAATTTGGTCACGCTACGAAGCATAATAATATGACCTATGCTAAATACTAAGTTTGCATTTGGTATAGGCCATATGTTTATATGATCATTACAAATTCCTTTTTGTATAAAAAATCTGATTGTTCATACAATTCTTCACAAAAATGAACATAGTCATTATTAATACAAAGATGTAAATAAGTACAATGTAAGTACTTAAACAAAAAATTTTTCATTTTTTTTTGCTGTTCCACAAATCCCACTGTCAGCGGGATGATGACGTCGATCCCGCAATTGGATTCCCTAATTATGAGCGTATAATTCTTAATAACTTGGTTAACACGTGTTATGTAGCATATAACTCAAAATAGCACAAAACGCACGGAAATGTGGAACGTGCTACTACGATTCAAACTTATGATCTCTCACTTCTACATCATTGTCCTAGAAAAACCTCAAAGTCACATTATTATGTGACTTTATTAAGCGTATGGGCGTCCTAAATACATATTTATCGTTACACCTGTCTGTGTCAATGAGTTAAGCACAGACAATAGGCTTCCATTAACTATGAACGTTACTTATACACGTGTTCTAAATAATTTTGGACATGATCTGTGTGTGTATAAAATACAAACCTTCATGTTGTGTGCATTCTTGAAGGTGGTGATGGTGCCGGTCTTGACAAGGAACTGGTCAACGCCGACCAGACCGCAGATGTTGCCACAGGGCACGTCCTCGATGGCCTCCACGTAACGGCCCATCATGAGGATCGTACGCTGGATGGTCTTCTCGTACAAATCCTAAAAAGAATACTTCTATTAACGCAAACATCTTCAGCGTTGGGCGCGCAGTAACATCCTCTTTATCACGATGCAATTTTCACTTTAAAAAGTTACATTTCAGATGTTCTATGATACGATGTAAATAAATTAGTGTTGTAATCGTCAAATTAGACGCTGCAGTGGCGCGACAGCTGCGCCACTGCAGCGTCTAATTTGAATATAAAGTCTGATTTTATAGTATGTTCCAATCCACTTTGAACAAATGGTAAACAAAACTGTTTGGTTAAATTTCTAAAGCAATCACTCAATAAATCGAATGAGTAACACTTTCACGTATATTTTGAAGATTTCGACTTGATATCTCATCACTTTTTCCAACAATATTCATTTGAACAGCATCGTATTTGAAAAATGGTAGTCCAAAAGTGAGGTTATTTTCATCTATACGTCTATGACTTGTCCATGGTTGCATAGTGCTGTACGAAAAATAAATATACAGTTCATTGCATTAGATTTGTAATAGATTAGTAAATCGAAAATTTCAATCGCACGAGTATCTAAGTGCAGATTTGAAAGAAAAATTAAAATTAAGATTACGGAAAATTTAAATATGTTTATATAGGTTATATAGGGAAAACCGCTAGTAAGATTCAATTAAACAAATTGATTCATTCAATTAATTAATCGATTTGTAGTTGGCATTACAATTGGCCATCACTAAACCGTCTATGGTCGGGTCAGTGACTTGTTTGTTTACATTTTGTTCAAAATGGATTGAAACGAAATATAGTAATTTTTAGTACACAAAAGTGAAATTCACAGATTCAAATGGTCAGATTGTTAAAATAAATAACGCACACACTCAACATAGCCCCGCACTAGGGAAACCCTGTGTCGCGGGTGCCATGGACACACACATAGACAACCACAAATTACACCCAAACTCACGAGAGAAATAAATGTAAGCCATACAAACATTTCTCCCGGCCCGGGAATCGAACCTGGGACCTCTGCGTGGCAGTCCGGCATGGTAACCGTTCGGCCACGGAGGCAGTTAAAAAAGAAAGCAATTGCAGATAGCTACGTAAACAGTCAAAAATTAGTTATAACATATCTTTATACAAGTTAGACACTTTAAACAATCTAGGCGTGTACTAACTTCTTTCTTGCCGGGCTGGAAGTTGGGGCCCATGATGCGAGCCTTCTGTCCGGTGACGACCTTGCCAGAGAAGACGCGGCCAAACGCATAGAAACGGCCCTTGTCCGATGTCGGTACCATCTTGCTCACGTACATCATCAGCGGAGCTTCGGGGTCACAGCTCTGGTCAAAAACAATGTAAAACAATGCATACATCAGTTGTTGTTTATATTTATTACTATGATTTTTATTTGTCGTTAAACAACCTGTATAAATATTATAAGTTTATTGAAAATCACGATGATTTACTACCATGCTAGTAAATCACCTTAATATAATTGAATATTATGGTAGCGCCGTAAAATAATTGAATATCATGATATTCAATTATTTTACGGCGCTACAGCAATAGTAGTTAAAAAAATAATAACTGCACAAGCACATAGAAAGATTCGAAGGTCTGCTCATTCGTTCCGTAGCTCAGTTAGGAGAGCATCAGGCACGGATTGCGGAAGGCGCTGAGTGTCTACACTCGTTCTCATCCCGACATTCGTCCGAAACAATTACCATCAAATAAGTATTACTCGAAATTTGGTCGCGTATTACTTATTCGACGATAAATTATTTCGGACGGCGAACGCGAGAAAAGGGCCTGAGGGTCTACCCTCGATCTCCGTCCGACATCCGTCCGAAACAATTACTGTCAAATAAGTAATATTCGACAAAATTAAAAGACAAGTATCAAGTATGAAGCTTCATTCGCATCACGCGTCTTTTCATTTGGTCAAGTATTGCTTATTTGGCAGTAATTGTTTCGGACGGATATCGAGAGTAGATCCCCTGATTCGAATCCAGCCGGATCGAAGGAACTTTTCTTAGTATTCGATTTTCAAAAAACGCACTCCAAAAAACTACACAACATACTCATATAACTCGTAAATATTCTTAAGTCTCCAGTACTTTAACACCGAATATTGCGTTCAACTGTAATTGGCTTGTATACCAGAACTATCTTAAGTTACGTAAATATATTCATTTATTTATTCATTTGTCAAATTGTCACACTTATATTAAGTACAGTGGGCACACTTACTCATTATAAAAGTAATAAAATTGTGATCCTATTAAATAAATCATTACAATTATACATGCATAAGATAAATTGATATGGACAACGGAAGTATCTCAAATTAATTACATAATAAATGATATTTTATCATTGAAAAATTCTTTAATATTATAATAAATTTAATTTATTTATGAGGAATTCTTTTAAATGTTTAGAGAAAATTTTAAATTCTTGAATTTCTTTTATGTAAATTGATATGAGATTGTAAATTTTAGTTACCATAACTTACAGTCCAGAAAAAACTAATTTAAATTTCGAAAATTGTACATGTATTAGTTGATACAGGTTTCTGTTATGTTTAATTTCAATTTTTGGAATAAATAAAATGGGATGGTTTCCAATAAATTTGCATGACTCAAGTATTATATCTAGATTTAAATCCGAAAAAATAGTTTCATTTCCTATATGTAACAATCGCGAAAACCTAAGAACTCGATATATACATATATACCTTAAACACAACAGTTAAAAGTTAATATGCTTAATCTTTGATAGAGAGGTCTAAAAGATACTACAGGTCAATATTTGTCAATATCCTAACACACATTTTCTGTAATACAAATACATGGTTACCGTTGGTAGTTTCCTCATATAATGACGTAGTATGCCGTAAGAGCATATAGTAATTGATATGCTGGTCAACTGTCTATCAAAAATAAATAAATAAACATACCTTGATACCAATAGCGGCTTCGTCATCATGGGGACCTTCGTACAGCATCTCCATACGGTATTTCTGCGCGACAACAGGTGACGGCAGATGGATGGCAATCATCTGAAG